AAGTGAGCTCAGACACAGAAAACAATGACAAAAAATTGAAAGAATGGATTCTATTTACAGAGCACTGTAGACAGACACTCTCAGGATGACAGGTTATAACTTCATGCCAGGCCACATTCTAAGCTTTCTCCAGTAACATCATTAGGGCTTTGCCTATCCATCTCAGTCAAACTCTCTATCCCTTCTAAAAGTTGGTTCAAACATCTGAGCAGCATCCAGTGCTTCAGGAGAAGGTAGGATTATCCAAATTTTGTCCACTCTAGGAAGAAAGATCAATAATTACTTTAGGTAAAATGAATTTGTTTTTCCTTTCCCAGGCTCTTCTGCCATTGCTCTGATGTTCTAATACAGTATTCAGTCCATAGAGGTGTTTTTTCAGCTGAGATTCCTATCTGTACAGTATAATTTTCTAACTTCACAATACTTACTTTATTTCAAATAAAATGCTACCATTCACCAGTACTCCAAACTGCCTAACGGAAATCACTGTCACTGGATTCCAAATTTGAACTTGAATAAGATTCTTTTTTTTCCCCCTTTAGGTTTTTGCCATAGGGTGAATGTGTCCCGGCCCGCGGGACAATCGGGCAGGGTGCGTGAGTGAGAGAGTGGAGGTCTGGAACTGGCGCAGCGTCACAACACGGGAGCGACACAGTGTCACAGCTCAAGATGGTATGCTGTCACTTGTTTATTGAGGGCCAGAGAACATTCTTATATACACAGGGTAGGAAAAGGGGGCGGGAATTGTCGTGGACCTAACTGAGGACCTGCCTGACTGAGGAAGTCTCAGGGTGAATTGTCTATTCCCAGAACAAGGATACTTGAAGGTCCTTGTATGAAGGTCATGTCAGCCATTTTGGTGCATGTGGCTCCCCACATGTCCCCCTTCTCTGTTTTATAGACTAGGAACCAGGGGGAGCTGTGCCTGTCTTAGATTGGAGTCTTATTAGCCGAATGTCCTCGGTTACCCATCATGGGAACCACCCACAGCAAGATGGGTGTCCTGTCTTAGGTGGAGGAAGTGGCAAAAGGTCGGCTAGACTCTCTTACCCATCATTGGCTAACCAGCTCAGCACCTCAGGTCAGATTATGATGTTCATTGATATCATGCATTTCCAGTCTAGCGTAATGGACCTGAATAGGCCGAGAAAGGAGGGAGGTAACTTGTTGGCTGATAAACGTTTTCAGTCTTTGGAAAATGACCGGTTCCAAGGAGCAGACAATTAGTAGCCCAAGAATTGGCCCAATTATAGGGAGCAAAAAGGACAAGAGTCCATTCCAGACAGTTAGAAGGGGGTTGTCAGCCAGTTGTCTATGGTTTCTTAGGGCTTCTTGGAGGTCATGGATCTTATCACAGACAATGCCAGACTTCTTGGCGTAAAAGCAGCATTGTTCCTGCAAAGCAAGACAAAGACCTCCCTGCTCTGCAAGTAAGAGGTCCAAAACAAACCCCTGCGATTTTATAGAACCACCTCTGCGAAGGAATTTAGCTGATCCTGGAGAGGGAGATAGTGGATGCAAGCTGCTGGACATCAGAGATCAATCCTTCTGTGACCTGTTTAAATTGAAGGGAATAACCCAGGCCTGTGGAGCCCGTAGCAGCGGCTACAGTGAATCCCAAGGTGGTGAAGACAGAAATAAGTTGGACAACTCACTTGGGTCTTTCTGCAATAAAATCAAGGGATGGGATGGGGACCTGTTCGTTTCCATTAATAACCTCAATTTCTGGGAGAAGAGTAGCAAGAGAGCAAGAGCTGGTCCAAGAAGGGTGAAGAGCGG